ACCAAGGCCGAACAGGCGGATCGCTCGTCCAACCCGCAACACGGGACCGTGGTCGATCGCGGCGTGACCGAGGCGCGCAACTGGGACTTCTACCTGCAGGCGCACACCGCGATCCAAGGCACGGCGAGGCCCGCCCATTACTACGTCGTCTATGATGAGATCTTCCAGGCTCGCAAAGTCCCCCCGGGCCCCTTCAAGAGCGCCGCCGACATCCTCGAGGACCTGACGCATAACATGTGCTATCTCTATGCGAGGGCCACCAAGTCGGTCAGCATCTGTCCGCCCGCGTATTACGCGGATCTGGTGTGTGACCGGGCCCGGTGCTATTTGAGTGGATTCTTTGACCCGGTGACGGCGAGCTCGGCCGGCAGCGCGAGCGAGAGCGGAACGAACGCACGGGGACCAGACTCCAGTATGGTCAAGATACATCCCCGAGTGCGAGACAGCATGTTTTATATTTAATGAGCGTCGCCGTGTTACAGTCGGATGTATAGCAGCTGGATCAGGCAGGGGGGTAGATGGAGGATCTTTGGAAAATGTCTTTTGTCCGGTGGAAACCGGTCTCTATTAGTCTCTCTGGTGGTCAGGAACTCTTGGGCGGAAAAAAAAGTTGGGCGTCTGGCGTGGTCCCGTGGATTTGGGTCGATGTCGTGACTCTGAACTTCATATGCTTTTTGGGATTTGTCGAGCTTTATCAGAGCATTTAAGTCTGTCTGATGTTGGTGCTCGGTGAAGCTATCAGGTCTTTCGTCTCGATCTTAACGGTAATGTGCCATGTGTACGGAATGTATATAACTATATAACTAGTTATAGTTAGTTATATGGTTATACGACTCTAGCTATTTTCTCTCGTTCCCGTCAAGCCGTCGGGGGGCTCGGCCCGCGAATGGCACCGCTGCTAAGAGGGGATTTCCCAGATTAGGCGGCGTCGGGGCTTTCGTGAGCCGGCAGAGTCGTCCTGTGTAACGTTCGCGAAGGCATCGAATGTTTGCGAGGCTGTGCAAGATCACGTGCCGTTACCGTTTCCGAGGAGCGAGATAGATGGGCATCTTCCCCTCTTGCCAGTGGCGCCTCTTGTTGCCCTGCTGTCTCTTGTCTCCCCTCTCTTGCTTCCTCGACGCGAATCATCATGGTAAGCTGTGCGACAGGGGGAGGACACGGGCCTGGGAAGGCAGATGGCCCCCGGGGGGGGGGG